GGCAAATTCCCCACAAAACAACCCAAAATCCATCAGGAAGGGGGGAAAATTCCAGGGGTCTGTGCACCAGCACTGCTCTCACAAATGGCAAATTCCCCACAAAACAACCCAAAATCCATCAGGAAGGGAGTAAATTCCAGGGGTCTGTGCACCAGCACTGCTCTCACAAAAAGGCAAATTCCCCACAAAACAACCCAAAATCCATCAGGAAGGGGGAAAATTCCAGGGGTCTGTGCACCAGCACTGCCAGCTCTCACAAATGGCAAATTCCCCACAAAACAACCCAAAATCCATCAGGAAGGGAGGAAATTCCGGGGCTCTGTGCACCTGCACTGCTCTCACAAAAAGGCAAATTCCCCACAAACAGACCCAAAATCCATCAGGAAGGAGGGAAATTCCAGGGGTCTGTGCACCTGATCTTCAGCTCTCACTCAGACACGAGAATTCCTCAGAATTCCCCAAAACCAGCCCGAAAGGGGAGCCAGGGCTGAGCAGCTCCCTTTTATTTGGGAATTTTTGGAATATCTTTATTTTGGATTTTTTTTTTCATTTTTTTTATTTTGGAATTCTTTTGAATTTGGAATTTTTTTTTTTCATTTTTGGATTTTTTTTTTTTTAATTTGGCACTTTTCGTAATTTTGGAATCTTTTTATTTTGGAATTTTTAGAAATTTTTTTTTTTGCATTTTTTTATTTTGGAATTCTTTTGAATTTTGGATTTTTTTTTTTTAATTTTTGGATTTTTTTTTTTAATTTGGCAATTTTCGGAATTTTGGAATCTTTATTTTGGAATTTTTAGATATTTTTTTTGCATTTTTTTTATTTTGGAATTCTTTTGAATTTTGGAAATTTTTTTTTAATTTTTGGATTTTTTTTTTTAATTTTTGGATTTTTTTTTTAATTTGGCAATTTTCGTAATTTTGGAATCTTTTTATTTTGGAATTTTTAGATTTTTTTTTTGCATTTTTTTTTTATTTTGGAATTCTTTTGAATTTCGGAATTTTTTTTTTTTTAATTTTTGGATTTTTTTTTTTTAATTTGTCAATTTTCGTAATTTTGGAATCTTTTTATTTTGGAATTTTTAGATTTTTTTTTTGCATCCTCCTCCTGTCGCAGCAGCCAAGCTCGGTGCCAGGTGCGCGTCTTTGGGATGAGCAAACCCGCGGTTTTGGGGACACAAAGAGCCGCAAATCCGCATCCCAAAGCGGCTGGAAATGTTGTTTTTTCCCGGCTGGAGCAGAGCGGAGCAGGCTCAGCCCCGTGGCCATGGCAGCGGGTATTTATTGCAGCCTCCGCCCGCCCGCCCGCACTTTGCCCCGAATAAAGCACAAAAGCGGCCGCAGCCGCCTCCGCTCCCGCCGGGCCCCCAAATCCCAGCGATTGGCCCCAAAACCATGGTGAGTGACGCGGCCGGGCCCCTCTGCGCCCCTAAATCTCATTTTAAAGCTTCTTTTGTTATTTTTTTGTTTTTTTTTCCTCTCCGTTCCTGCTCCAGGCAAAGTTTCTGTCCCAGGATCAAATTAATGGTAGGTATGAGTTTGTTCCGCTTCGGGCGTTAATTAGCGAGATTCAATTTATATTAATATAAAAATGACGGTTTTTTCCCCCAAAGTGTCTCGGGCTGGGCTCGCTGTCTCTCAGTCCCCAATCGGCTGCCTGGGAAAAGTGGGAAATCTCCCCAATTCCAGGGAAATCCTGCAGGGCAGGAGCAGCGCCCGGTGCCCATCCCCAGGAAAACACCCGGGAATTCCGGGCTTCGGTCCCGNCAAAACTGATCCATGAAAAGCTGGGAATGCTTTCCCCATGATCCCAAGATCACCATTGCTCCCATAGCAGCTGGGAATGCTCTCTGTGTGATCCCAGGATCAAAATAATCCCAAAAAAAGCTGGGAATGCTCTCCCTGTGAATCCCAGAAGAGCTGGGAATGCTTTCCCTGTGATCCCAGAGGGGCTGGGAACGCTCTCTGTGTGATCCCAGGATCAAAACTGATCCCAAGAAATCTGGGAATGCTCTCCCTGTGAATCCCAGAGGAGCTGGGAATGCGCTTCCTGCAATCTCAGGATCAAAATAATCCCAAAAAACCTGGGAATGCTTTCCCTGTGATCCCAGAGGGGCTGGGAATGCTCTGCCTGTGATCCCAGAAGAGCTGGGAATGCTCTGCCTGCATCCCAGGATCAAAACTGATCCCAAAAAATCTGGGAATGCTCTCCCTGTGATCCCAGAGGGGCTGGGAATGCTCTCTCTGCATCCCAGGATCAAAATTGATCCCAGAAAATCTGGGAATGCTCTCCCTGTGATCCCAGAAAAGCTGGGAACGCTCTGCCTGTGATCCCAGAGGGGCTGGGAATGCTCTGCCTGCAATCCCAGGATCAAAATAATCCCAAAAAACCTGGGAATGCTTTCCCTGTGATCCCAGGATCAAAACTGATCCCAAAAAATCTGGGAATGCTCTCCCTGTGATCCCAGAAAAGCTGGGAACGCTCTCCCAGCAGCCCGGAATTGTCCCCAGGCATTGTCCCCGCAGGTACCTGGTGACCGAGGGCCAGATCTTCATCCTCTACATCTTCACCTTCTTCGCCATGATGGCGCTGGTGATGCACCAGCGGCGCAAGGGGCTGGTGCTGGACAGCAACGGGCTCTTCCTCTTCCTCTCCTTCATCATCACCCTGCTCCTCATCGCCGCCTGGGTGGGCTGGCTCTGGAACGACCAAATCCTGCGGAAAAAGTACCCGGGGGTGATTTACATCCCCGAGCCCTGGGCCTTCTACACCCTGCACATGAACAACCTGCACGCAGCCAAGGGCGCTTTCTGAGCTTTTGGGTGTTTTTGAATGGGGGGAAAAAAAAAAAAAAAAAAAAAAAAAGAGAAGAAATCTAGTTTTTCTAATGTAGATTCATGTGTTTCCAATAAATTCCTGAGTGGAAAAAAAAAAAAAAAAAGAGAAGAAATCTAGTTTTTCTAATGTAGATTCATGTGTTTCCAATAAATTCCTGAGTGGTGGTGGCTGTGTGGTGATTACCGCTGGGAGGGGAGGGGATTAATTAAAATTCATTANCTCCCGCGGCTGACCCAGCTCTGGTTCTTAATTAGAGTTCAAGGAATGCTTTTCCCTGTTCTTAATTAGAGTTCAAGGAATGCTTTTCCCTGTACGACAAGAAACAAAAAGGGAAGATCAGAGCGTCGGAGCTGCTGGCGGTGATGCGGAGCCTGGGAGCGAGCCCCACGCCCGGAGAGGTGCAGAGGCACCTGCAGCTGCACCGGATCGGTGAGCGCCTGCACGGGCATCAAACACGCCAAAATCCCGTTTTTTCCTGGAGCTGGGGTGTTCCAGGAGGGAACACATCCACCCAGAGCTGTTGTGATGTGTTAAATCCAGCTCACGGATTAAAGCGGTGCAGTGAAAATCCCTAAAAAAGCAGGAGACAAACGTTTAATATGGATTTGGAGGGTGGGAGATTGTCCTGGCCAACCAGCAGAGGTGGAAGAGCACGGAAAGACGTTCAGCTGAAGATCTGTGGGGAAAACAAAGCACAAAACCCAAGGAATTGTGAGATCAGGTGGGGGGATTAAAAATTCAGGATATGAGTTCAGAGCGCAAATTGAACGGAGCTATAAATTGGATTCTAGGAGAAAAAAAAATCCCATTTTTTTAGGGATTCTGTTTTAGGAGAAAGTTGTGACGTGCCCTGATCCAGATCGGGGACAGGAAACCCCAGGAAAGGGAACTGGGGGAGGATGAGGAGGGTGTTCAGCCCTGGATGCAGCCCCAGACAGAGCCATTCCCAAAGGATGTGCCCTTCCCCTCGCAGACAGGAACGCAGAGCTGGACTTCTCCACCTTCCTGAACATCATGTACCGGCAGATGAAGCAGGAGGAGCCCGAGGAGGAGATCCTGAGAGCCCTGGCCATGATTGACCGGCAGAAGCGAGGGGTGATCGCCGTGGCCGAGCTGCGCGCCAAGCTCACGCGGCTG